TCCTACCTAAAACCCATCAGTGATGTCACAATTTCCTCCAAGAAGACAACAAAATCCTTAGAACATTCTATAAGACTTTTCACAACCTCCAAAATTCTTCAATCCATTACTCTGACTTCACTTCCAGTCTTCTGCCTTATTCACATTGCTGTAGCCACACATACCTCTTTGTAACATTGAGTATTAACTTAGGTACATTTTGACTTCCAGCTTAACTTTCACCATCACGGACTCAAAAGAATAGCGTATGTCAGATTCTTTTGAATGCAAAATAGTTCTGTCCACTTAAATTCACAGAAAATTGAATTCACATATTCACCATGAAAACTAAAAAAAAAGTCAGCTTTATATATCAAAAGCCTAGAAACATATGGCCTAGAAACATATGGCCCAGCTAAGCAGACACCCACTTTACAGAGACACATTCATGTTTATTGCTACTTTATTCACAATAGCTAAGAAATGGAATCAAACTAGATATTCATCATCAGATGAATGAATAACACAAATGGTGTCCATGTATCCTACTAGTTAGCTGTGAAAAAAAATGAAATCATAAAGTTTCTAGCTACATATCCATTGTTTTATGCACATAAGATGGAGCACAAATTGAAGCTAGGAATATAGAAAGGAGCCATTAAAGGAGGGGCAATAGCAGATTATAGACAAAACAAAGGGAGTGATGTGTGATGTTATGGGCGTGCAGGCTTAAGCACCAAGGCATGTGGAAGTATGGGAGAAGAGTATTAAAGGGAGAACTAACATGAATGAAGAGGGGATGAGAAGCCACATCGAAGCCTTCTATCTCACAACCCAACTTTGTAAAAAGGAAGGATAGTAAAACACATATAAAATGAAAGAAAGGGGAATTCTGTGGATTAAAGGTACTGGAGGAAGAAGAATAAGGGAGAGAAGAGGAGAGACTAAGGCTATATGAGGGGAACTCATGAAAACCTACTAGTTAGTACGCCAATTTCAAAAAACATCTTTAAAATATAGTTTTAAAATTTTTATAGGGATCTGGAAATTTAACAAATAAACCATGAACCAAGTATTTTCTAAAAGTGCCAGCTGAACTTCTGCTATGCATAAGGAGCCCTATCTTCTTTGACAAAGAGTTACTGGTCCTCCTTTCCAAACAGGAACTGGCCATGAAAATAAGCAATTTGTTTCACCAGGAGAAATTTGTATCAAAGAGCAATCAGATAATGTGCATGGGAATAGCCTTCACCTCTTCTACCTTGCAGCTCTTAGAGCGAAAGGAATAAAATAAAAATTATGGAAGCCTTGTTGACAAAAGGGTATGAGTAAAATCTCTAGCCAATTAATAATTGATCATTTTTAAACATTTAAAAAGATATAGCAGTAACTCCTAGGAACAACAATTAAAATCTATATAAAATTAATATGAAAAATTAAATTATATGAATATAGCCATGGGTACTCTTTGCAAGAGTACATAATATCCAGTTAATATATTTAAAATAAAAATCAAATGAAATAGTAAAAATTCTCAGCAGATATGCAATTAAGACTTGGAATTATTAAAAAATATTAGCATATACACTCACTGTTTTGAATAAGAAGAAATTGCAACAAGGCATGAAACTATAACTCACACTCAAAAAACAACGCTGAAAATTATTATTCTTTGATATGGATTAGGCAGATAAATTCTTCAAAGCATCTTATAAATATCTTCAACTAATTAAAGTTAATCATATATAAATACTAGGAGAAAACATAAGGAGAATGAAGGAGTAAATCATGGATGCCAGTAAATAATTAGAGTTTTAAAAGCTATTCAATGGAACTTCTGGATTGGAAAAATAATAAATCAAGTGAATTTTTTTATTAAAAGATCAATGATAGATTTGAAAATGGCTGAGGAAAGTTAATTGAAAGTTAGGAAAAATAAGATTTTCGAATAAAAAGGATAATAAATTATATATAAATACATAAGTACCCATAGACTTGTTTCTTATCAACGTTGCCAATATGTAACTAATAGAATTAGCAAAAGGCAAAGAGGAACAGGAATAATGTATTTGATGATATAAAGGAAAACCTTAAACTTTGCTTAATAATATTCTCAACCCACAAATCATAAATGGTTACCATAGTCAAGTAATTAAATATTGAAGGCTAGCAGACACAACTGACTGATAACATACAAAGAATAACAATGGGATTAACAGTTAATTCTTCATTACAATCAATAGATCTCATAAAGCAAAAAATAATACTTGATTTAGAACACTAAAAAGAGAAAAAAATCATCTTTATTAGTTACTTCTTTCTTTGTTGCTACAAAATACCTGTTTTTCTTTCTTTCTCTCCATTTTTATTTAAATTAGAAACAAGATTATTTTACATGTCAATCCCAGTTCCCTATGCCTCCCCTCCTCCTCTGCCCTCCCCCACTAACACCCTACCTATCCCATACCCTTTCTGCTCCCCAGGGAGGGTGAAGCCCTCCATAGGGGGGTCTTAAGAATCTGTCATATCCTTTGGGATAGGGCCTAGGCCCACCCCCTTATGTCTAGGCTCAGGGAGTATCCCTCTATGTGGAATGGGCTCCCAAAGTCTATTTCTATACTAGAGAAAAGTATTGATCTACTACAAAAGGCCCCATAGATTTCCGAGGTCTCCTCATTGACACTCGAGTTCATGAGGTCTGGATGAGTTCCATGCTGGTTTCCCAGCTATCAGTCTGGGAACAAAGAGTTCCAGCTTGTTCAGGTCAGCTGTTTCTGTGGGTTTCACCAGCCTGATCTTGACCCCTTTGCTCATCACTCCTCCTTCTCTGCAACTGGATTCCAGTTCACTTCAGTGTTTAGCTGTGGTTGTCTTCTTCCACTTCCACCAGTTGCTGGATGAAGGCTCTAGGATGGCATATAAGTCAGTCATCAATCTCATTACCATGGGAGGGCATTTAAGGTAGCCTCTCCTCTGTTGCTTATATTGTAATTTGGTGTCATTGTTGTAGATCTACAGACATTTCCCTAGCGCCTGATTTCTCTTTAAACCTATAATGGCTCCCTGTATATCTGTTAATAAGCAGTTTAAGGAAGAAAGGGTTTATTCTAGTTTACAGTTTGAGAAGATACTTTCCATCATGGTAGGGGAAACTAGCAGGCAGGAGAAAGGGGAAGGGTGATCACACTTCACTCACAGCCAAGGACCAGAAAGTCACACAGGTTTTAAAGCCTAAAGGACTAACCCCAGTGACACTCATCCTCCAGTAAGACCCCACCTCCTAAAGATTCCACAGTTTTCTCAAACAGCACCACCAGTTGGGAAAGGGATAGTCAGGATCAATCAGAGGTCCATGCCTTACCTAGCTAGCACAGACCACTTTGCTTTGACAGCTTTGTGACATTCTTTTATGAACGGAGAGTTTCTTTGGATAGCAGTTACTGCTCATGAATTTCCTATACCAAACTCAGGAGCAGAGCATTTTAAATGTGACAAAAGGGAGTCCTAGGAACTAGCACTGCCATTTGGAGATAATAGCCAGGAGTTATCAAACCTAAATCCTAGTACTGGGGATGAGTTGTTGAAGGAGGCACCAGAGGCCTTAAAAAGGTACAGGTTCTTGCCATTTCCCACTGCTGCTCACTAGAAATAGCTGATCAGATTAATTATTACTGAAGCTATTACATGCCTTGTATGTAAGATAGAGAACTGAAACTGAGTTGGACACTTTCTTTCTGCTGGCCAGCTTCCATAGTGTTGTACACTGCAATGCATGCTATTAGGGGATAAAATACATCAATGGTAACACCCATCTGAGCACCCCATTGACTATAATACCAATGTTTCAGGTACAACTTTGGTGCAACAGTGGAATGACATTTAAAGAGCCAACCAAATGCTCTATGATTATTTCAGAGTCCTGCCTCACAACAGGGAATCCATGCCTGCTACTATAAACCTTATTAAAAATCCATAACTGAGATGTCTCAGTAAGAAGAGAGGACCTTACTATTGCTGGTTAGCTAAATCAACATAGAACCAAGCAGCCTTCTAAATATTTATACTTGTTCCAATAGATTAAATGTTACTCTCAGTCTTATTCAGGTAAACTTTTCAATGAAAGGAGGCAAAAACTAAGTTGAATGGCTGCCAAAGATACTGAGAATAAGTAATAGTTGAGTGTTCAGGCATAAATAAGACATTAACAGCATTTCCTCTAAGTTTCAAAGAGTTACATGGAAGAGGAGTTGAAAGAATAAGTAGGCAGATCTCAACATTGATCACAGAAGCTTTATTTTCAGTGAGAAGCAGATAACGAAGACAATCATTACTGGTTAAAGTGATGAGAATAAGTCATGGTGAGTTTCATTCCTTTATCAAGAACTATCAAAGCTCATAAGCTCTGGGAACATTAAAGGAGAGAGCATGGGAAAATATAAGATGTGAAAATGGAGAGAAGTGCTGTGAAATCCTGTCTTCTGGGCATGACCTGGTTGTTAGACCCATGAACTCATAGCAACTGTGTTTATCTTACATGATCTGCAAAGATCCAGCCAAATACACTTCTGGTAATAATAAGAGTAATAATATGGGTTTCATGAGGTCCCAACTTTCACTGAGGAGTTATTGGCAACTGAGGGGGTCTGGAGAAGCATGACCATTTTTCTTTGTGGATGTGGTTGTCTATGTAGCAATGGGTGATCTCCATGCATCTACAGGCAGCACTGATTGAAAATGGTGGCATATAAAAGGAAGAAGGAGGAGAAAGAGGAGAGACAAGATGAAAAAAAGAAGTAGAAGGAGAGAAAATTAAAAGGAGAATGTATTGGAGGGATATCTGGGGTGATACAGAGGATGAAAATGGGCCACTGAATATGGTCATAATATACTGTATACATGCAAGAAATTTTCAAAGAACAAAGGAAATAAGCAGCCAGAATGAAAAGGGGGTTCTGAGTTCAGATACCCAGAATAGAACCAAACATGACTGGCAAAAAATGTGTCAATGAAATGATTCCTAGTGATATTCTGCTATACTCATCGATCGGTGTGCAGCCCAATTGTCATCAGTAGCATCATCCAGCAACTGATGGGATCAGATAAGGAGGCCCCAAGCCAAACACTAGGTGGAGTTCTGCGCACCTCACAGAAGAGGGGGAAGAAGGACGGTAGAAGCCAGAAGAGTCAAGGACACCATGAGAACACGGCTCACAGAATCAATTAAGCAGGCTCCCAGAGACTGAAGTGACAATCATGGACCCAGAATGGGTCTGAGCAAGGTATTCTGTACATACGTTATGATTGTGTAGCTTGTTATTCTTGTGGGATTCCTAATAGTGTGAGTTGGGGCTGTCTCTGACTCTTTTGCTTTCTCTAGGGACCCTTTTCCTTCTCCTGGGTTGCCAAATCCAGCCTTTATATGAAGGTTTTGTGCCTAGTCTTATTGTAACTTATTATGCCTGAGAGGCATTCTCTTTTGTGAAAGAGAACAGGGGGAGTGGTTCTGGAGAGAGATGTGAGAGAGGAACTAGATTGAAGGATAGCACTATCATAGAGATAAGAATCTCTTGTTAGATAGGTCACAGACAATGAGGAGAATCCAATACTATTATTCCATTAAATGGACATAGTGGTAAAATGACTGACTCCTAATGACTTATTGTATAACCACAGATCAGAACATCTTTCAACCTTTATCAGAGAAGCATTCCCTTGGAGTAGTGTGAAATGAACACAGACATCCCCATGCCAATTACATAGTGCTCAAAGAACAGAAGTCTATGGAGTGCTCAGTCCTAAAGGAGACTTTGATATCACACTCCTCTAAACCTTGGGATCTTTGTAGAAGAGGGTGCCTAATCTCTGTAAGAGCCCACAGTGGGGCATAACTTCAAGGAGAGAGTATTTTCTAGACACAACAGGGCAGATGAATTATGAACAGAGATTATGACAACATGCACAAAACCTATGCAAATTCAAGTCAGACAAAATTCCAGCATGGAGGGTAGAAAGTAAGCATGTAATCCCATAACTACCTAAGCAGTTATTGGCCCTTGATGGCTTCTGGGAGAAGGAGAGCTGAGTTTTTGTTGCTGTTGTTTGTTTGTTTGTTTGTTTGTTTGTTTAATGATGTGATCCCTGGTAGGCTGACCAGATAGCAGAGCAGGCTCAAATCACATTAGCTGAGCAACACAAACTGGACTCAGATGAGGGAAATAAGTGAAAATAATCTCAAAGTTGAGTGGAAAGGAATGGGAGGGTTGAGAATACGGTAAAGAGAGGAGTTGGTAGCAAGGATATGTTCAAAGCATTTGGAAAAAATCTCAAAGAATTAATAAAATTACTTAGAGAGGGATGTGAATGGAGGTACCCTGTATAGATGTACAATATTGCAGCCAGAACACAATATATACTAAATGAAAATCTGTGTCAGGCACATGATATCTCACAAAAGTATATTAGCCAAGAAGACCATAGAGATCTCCAAAATTGCACAAGCTATTCCCATTGCTATTAATTTCCTATTATAACTAGATGGTAAAATCCCTTTCCTAAAGACACTACCTACTTTATTTGAAAAAATGTAGATAAATCAATCTCAAACTAACCAAGAAAATTTCCTCTCTGCTACCTAGATTCTATAGTCCCAGAAGGTGTTATCCTGGCTTCTAGGGTAGCGAAGACATCAATGGTCTTTACCAGAACTAGATTTTGCTAACATGCCAGGCAAGTTGTGTCCACTGTTGCAGTAGTGGCATAGATATAATAGGAATAACCAACCATGTCTTGAATGAACTTGAAGCCTACTTTACAATAGTGCATTCATAACTTGTAGCATAAACCTGGTCAAAAGCCCATGGCTGAAGAGGTCATAGTCCCCAAGGAGAATTCCCTGCTGTGGTTTAAATATAACATGTCTCCCATTGGCTCATGTTTGAACATTTTTGTCCCCAGGTGGTAGCATTATTTGCAAATGTTATAAAACTATTGGGAGATCTTGATGGAGGAAGTGTTTCATTGGAGGTGATTTTGTTTTTGTTTTGTTTTTTCAGAATTCGATCCCCAACTTCTTGTTATATCTGCCTCCTGTGTGGTGCTGAAATGTTGTCATCCAGTATCCTGTTCCAGCTGTCATGCCTTTTCCCTCACAATTGACTCCATTCTTCTGGAAGTGTAAGCTATTAAAATAAGTCCTTCTCCCCTAAACAAAAAATAAACTAATATACTGCTATTGTTATTTTGCTAAATGGTCATGTTGAAAAACTACTTTATAAACATTTCTGTTTATACCATAGATCTTTACTCCTTTCAGCATTCTTAGAAAAATATTTTTGCACTTAGCATCAGATACATAGACCCAGAGAAGTTAGGTAAAGAGGAGGGGTCTCAGGGTAGCACATGGATCTTCCTTGGAAGGGGAAGTAAAAAAAAAAAAAGATTTTACAGGGTTGAGGGAGGATGGGATCCAGAGGAACAGGGTTATTGGAGGAGATGGGATAGAAGGAGAGAGTTCATGGAGAGACAGCTTGAATTGGGAGCATCTTGGGAGTGGTGGGGAAACCTAGTGCAGTATAAACTTCCTGGAATCTATGAGGGTGATCCTAGTGAGGACTCCTAGTAATGGCAATGCAGAGCCTCAACTGGCCATGTAGTATAGCCAGGCAAGGCTTCCAGTGATTTCCTGGGTTGCATTCAGTCGAGTTGTTCACCTATGGGGTCCCATGGAGATGCAAAAACAACCCATACTGGTTCTAGGAGAGAGGGTTGCTCTCTGCACATTCTCAGTGGAGTTCTGTTGCTGTGGATAATATCCACACAGCTCACTGAACATGGAGAGGTTTAGCTGGTGCATGCATGGAGCCTTCATCCCTATGTTCTAGTATTTTTGGTGCAGAAAGGTACTCTGTGGGCCACACAAAGAGATACCTGAAGACCAACCCAGCCGCAAAACCATCCACCTATAATCTGTCCTGCCTGAAAGATGTGTTGGGGAAATGGTGGCACAGAAATTATAGAAATGGTCAACCAATGCCTGGCCCAACTTGAGGCCCATGCCCTACATTGTTGGGATGGCCCAGAGGCTGGAGACTGAATAGCCCTGAAACCTAGGATGGAGCCAAACATGGCTAGTCTAAAAAAAATCAATGTAATGGTTCCTAATGATATTTGGTTCTATTCAGAGATAGTTCCCTTGTTCAGTCATCATCAGAGAGGCATCCAATAGAGCAGATGGGAGCAGGTACAGAAACACACAGATAGACAAGTGGAGAGTCTAAATAGGAGGTTTCCATCAGGTTCTTCCCCTCAGAGATTGGAGAACCCCATGGAGGAGGGGGAGGAAAGATTGGCGTCAGAAGGGATAAAGAACACCTGGAGAACATGGCCCACTAAATCAACGAAGCAGGGTGCAGATAGGCTCACAGAGCTGAAATCATCCAAGATGCTGTAAGTGTGCAGTGTCTTCAGCAATAGGGAAAAGTAACCAAATGCTATATCTATAATCTATAGTCACTTGGACTACCATGACCAACCATTTGAAAGAAAGTTTCTTGTGCCTGCTACTGGAATTTTTGTTAGTAAATGGCTCTTGCAGAGAGTATTATCAGCCCAAGTAGCTTAACTTCCTTTAAGATGTATTTGTTTAGATCAGTCACATGGTGGTTTCTCAGGTATCAGTTGGGGTACCAAGATCCCACCTTGTTCAGGTCAGCTGTTTCTGTGGGTTTCATCAGCCTGGTCTGGACCCCTTTGCTCATCACTCCTTCTCTGCAACTGGATTCTAGTTCAGTTGAACGTGGGTGTCAATGAGGAGACCTCGGAAATCTATGGGGCTTCTTGTAGTAGATCAGTACTTATCCCTAGCATAGGAATTGATATTGGGAGCCCATTCCCCATAGAGGGATACTCCTTGAGCCTACACACATGGGGGTGGGCTTAGGCCCTATCCCAAAGGATATGACAGACTCTGAAGATCCCCCTATGGATGGCCTCACCCTCCCTGGGGAGCAGAAAGGGTATGGGATAGGTAGGGATTTAGCTGGGGGGTGGTGGCAGGGAAGGATAGGAGGGAGAGGGAACTGGGATTGACATGTAAAACAATCTTGTCTCTGATTCAAATAAAAAATGGAAAAAGATGTATGTGTTTATTATATTTACCTAAAATTATACACTATACATTTAAATATATATGTACCCACATGTATATACTTATATGCATGATGTATAATTTTGGGAAAATATAAAATAATTACTTGAGGCATAATTAAACAACCTCGGTGTTATTTGTCCTTCCTTATCCTTCTGAATTGCCATGTCTTCCTCCTCAGCTGAAGCACCCTCTCCATTATTCCATTTCCCACTTCACATCACTGGTATCCTGTTATTCCCCTACCAACTTCTCCCAACCAACAGTCCCTTTATACTTTGCTGATTTATTTGTTTACTCTGTGTTGTGTGCTCACATCTGAGAATCCAGAGCTAGGAACCCAATGAGAGATAACATGAAGCATTTGTCTTTCTGGGTCTGGGTAACCTCACTCAATCTAATCTTTCCTAGTTCTATCCTACCTGACAATTGCATGATTTCATTTTTCTGAATAGCATTACACTGTGTGTAATGTACTACATTTTACTTGTCATTCACCTGTTGAATGACATTCAGCTTGTTTCCATTTCCTGGCTACTGTGAACAGGGTGATAATGAACACTGATGAACATTATCTGTTGAGCACGATGTCACCAACACTAGCTTTTAAAAGAAATCGAGTTTACTAAAATATACACAGAAATGCTTTTTAAATCATCATTCCTGAATTTCCCCAGTATTTGATGAAAGGATAATTATAAACTGCCTTTTATTCTCTATTATTGTCAATGTCTTCTTCTATTGGTTGCCTATTTATTTTCCTTATTTGGGTATATGTTGGCATTATTTTGTTTTGGTTCACCAGTCTGTGTTTCCATTAGTGTCAATGTCATTGCTGTTTACTAGAGATCTATTCTGAAGAGTTTCTATATGGTCCTGGTTAAACATTTGCTTTGTGAAAGTGAATAAGTAAAGCTTATCACCGCTGTGCATAGTTTAGTGACTCAAATATTAAAGATAATAAGTATTTATAATTTATTTGATTGTCTGTGGAAATCATTTGTAACAAGTTCAATTGAGCTGAGCAAACATTTTGTTCACCTACCATGCCCATTCTATCAACTTAATCTTAGGGTGTAAGAAGGCATACCTTTAAAGTGTTCAGTAACAAAATAACTTCAAGAGAAGAAAGAAACACAGGGAAAAGAAACTCTTCCGGGTTCAGGTTAGGCAGCAAGCAAAGGAGTCTGCACTGAAAATGCTGGTGCATCATCTCATCCTCAAACTAATCATCAATGAAAGGCAATGCGAAACTTCAAAGAGAGCAGCACACCAGTTCTCTCCAATTAAAGTAATCTACTCAAATTGACCCAAACCAGATATTTCCTTTAATTTAAAAAATTACAATGCCTATTCACTTTAATCTTCTAGCCATATAATGAAATCAGAGTTACTGCCACTAATAAGACTGACATTACTAAGCCAGCTCCAAAGCAGCATTTTGATGATGTAGTAACAATCACACAGAGTAATTCTCCAGATGTTTCAAGAAAGACCAGCACCTCACTTGTTACCAAAGAACACTGAAGTATTTTTATTTAATTTTTATCCAAATAGAAACTCGAAAGCCATTTTTATTAAAAAGTCATTGTATTTTTTACCAAGATACCCCACATAGCTCCAGTGACAAAGTACAAGCCAATCACTCTAAGTACCAACAATGAGCCCTTCTTACAACCACCTGATTCCAATTTTGTTTTTTCTACACAGGAATATATAACAAAAGCATGAAAAGGCATCTTTTCTTCTAATGTCAAAGACAGCTGCACTATTGCTTTGTCTTATCTGGGAAAATGTTTAGATTGTTAGAAATACAGATAAACAGTGTTTCCTTCATTTTTACAGCAAATGCTAAAATCATAAAGATATCCATATGCTTACAAGTTACAACTTATGAGACACAATTGATGGCAGGGTTGACATCATATTTTATTCAGTCTTGCAGTTGTCTTTCTTTTTTACATTGCCTTTTGTTTTGAAAGTAGATCTGGGAACAGATTCCATATGGAAAAAGAAACCCTTTCAAGAAAAATTGAGACATTAAAATTAATTGTTCCTTCTTTTACTAGGCTAGCCCATAAAGCAGCTAAATACTCTAATCATACATTATGAAGTTCAAACATGAGATTCACTACTAGGCAATATTTTTAATTTAGGTGATACCCTTCTGAAAACTGCTTAGATAGGGTCTCCATAAACTTCTCACATAAACTTCTACCAAGAATATAGAGTAGCAAATCCTGAGGCCATGTGCAACTTGGGCAGGAATATGTATAACTGGGAGGAGAGTTAAGGAGAGAAAATGGCTGTAATCTTAGCTGAAGATTTAATGACCCATTTAATGACATTCTTGTATGAGTGAATATCAAGAAGCCTATCTTTTTAGGAGCTGTGTAGCTAATGGAAGATACTCTGTTTCAGACCTTAAGTGCCATGCTGTGCCCAGAGTACAGCATCCCACCAATTTGATGGTTTCTTTAAAAAGTAAAAACAGAGTTATCATATAACTTGGCAAATCTTCTTCTAGATATAAATGCAAATGGAATGAAATTACTACCCCATAATGTTATCTGTAACTCCCATAATCAACTTCAGTATTGCATAAGCAGTGGCATGAAGGTTTAGGATTCCAGAACAGCCTGGGCTACACAGAAAGCCACATTTTCAACATCCACTGACAGATTATTGGATACAGGCTTTGAAAAGGAGGCGTTTCTGTTGCTCATGCCATAGATGAACCTTGAGGATATTGTGTTTAATGAAATAAGACAGAAACATAAAGAAACATATTCCTTGATCTTGTATGTGAAACCTAAAATTACAATTAAACATATAGAAGTATATGTCTGTATATGACAACAAAATTAAGTATCTAATATAAAATGACATATATAGTTAAAGATAATGCTTTTTTTTCAGTTTTTTCTTAATGTCTAGGTTATGGCTATTGTTGCCACAGAGGAAATAAATGCTTAGCTCAGCACAATGATGCATATGCTGACTTCCTTCAATTTAGTTAGTATATATCTGTGTGTACACATTCTTGTCATGTTTTACAGCATAAAGCTACAGAATAAATTTTGTTTTAAAATACAATCATAA